TTTATTGCTTGTATACCGCACCAAATTCCATCGAAACAGGCAAGTTCACTCTCAGGACACTTTTCAACAATACGAGCAGGTTCTAGAGTCGGGAACTCCTCGTTTAACATTTCTACAGAGACCGCAACAGTACCACACCATGAGACCTAGGACCTGCTGGCGACGGCGACAAGAAAAACTGCCCTTTTCACAGGCGGACCCTCGGACAGCGCACCCCCGACGCGTCGTCACGGTGCGGGTCGACGCACGAGAGAAAGAAACGGCGACAGAGAACAAAGAGAGAGAAAGAGAGAGCCAGACGAGACAGAAGACAGGGCCACAGCGACCAACAGTTAGCAACAACTACACTGACGATCACCGTAGACTGGACTGACTGATGTGGCACTTTTGCAGAAGATGATGACGCCGACTGAATTGAATTGAATTGAACTTCAAGGAAATGTTGCCTTACTTACTGCAACTTAACATTTTCATTGCTTTTGCTTGTAATGCAGTGAATTCCTATTTAATCCAGAATTTCTACTTGACTGAAGTGAAGGACGTAAATATTTCCACCACTGAACGGCAGGACAAAGAAGCTCTTAACCAATTTCTGGTGAACAAAAAAACTAAATTCACTCAGATTCTTTTTTGTTTTTTCCATTTGGTTTTTTCTTTTCTAACATCCCCGACCAGACGGGTTGGTAGAGATTTGTGAGCACATTATTCACGTCATATCTGGTTATCTCTGACTGTTCTGCTGCCAATATGAAAACCCGCTTCCTGCAACATTAAGACTCATAAAAGTGTTTTACCACTCCCGCTGTCACAGTAATAACAGCGAAACTGAGACAATGACTTATTAATAGTGTTGTGATACAAAATGTTAAGCACATCTTTTACCGAAGAAGTAGCAGTTGAAACATCAGAGGAACTAGTTTTTCCAGGTGATTAAAAGGTTACTGAAGTCAGTTTGGACACAATCCAACAATGCCTACAGTTTACTTTTACTGCTAATTATTTCACAGCAGTGTCTATATTCAAAACCATTACACAACATAACAGTGCAGGATCTGAGCTATGGTAGAAATCATCCACAAGATACATACTGTACTACAATGTGCTACAACAGAGGAGTCAGCCTACAGTGGACTGAGCTGATGCACTGTCCATTTTGGTATTTTGTGTGTAAACTGTGTTTTCATATCCTTAAGTGCAATTTAGATTGATCATGTGAGGCCTTTTTTTCCATTTCCTTATTGCAGCTCTCCTGTACATGTTTGGGCTCGATCCAAACACCTCCAAACAAGTTTTCCTGGCAGACAACTTCACACGTGACAGCTGATTTTTAAATGACATCAATTATTAAAAGTAAACCGTGTGTGAGTGTAATTGTTAGATTGTGTAATAGGAAAAAACAACTGTCCATTGAAGGAGACACTTCTTTCACTGCAGATCTTTCAGGAATATAAGTGTTATTTTTAGCTTAGTGTTAGCTGCAATGACTGCCTGTCGGTCCATTAAAGGTCCAGTGTGTAACATTTAGGAGGATCTATTGGTAGAAACTGAATCTAATATTCATAGGTATGTTTTCATTAGTGTACAATCACTTGAAAATAAGAATTGTTGTGTTTTTATCTACAGAGGGAGCAGGTCCTCTTCTACCGAGTCTGCCATGTTGAACCTCCATGTTTCTACAGTAGCCCAGGATGGACAAACCAAACAGTTCTTCATAGGGTCTTTTGTGTCACAAGTTTCGCAGCCACTGTGGTTTCTCCTTTGTGCTTTTGGAAGATAAATTTGAAGTTTCGATCTGCAACTTCACCGCTAGATATCACTAAATCCTGCATATTGGAGCTTTAAAGGAATAGTTCAGCATTTTGGAAACACTCTGATGTGGGCGAATAACTACGTCATATGAACTAGTTCTTTTCATAGAGGTTGCCAGATGGGGCCAACTGATTATTTTGGGATTTCCATTGTGGCACAAAACTTACAGTTTACAGTGATAACAGTGGCAGATTTAGCATCAAAATTCATAGTAATTCTTTAAACTTTGTGTCTTTGATTAGATTTTGTCGGTTGAAATGAAAACTGTCACAAGCAGATTTCATCAGTTGTAGGTAGCTTGTTTGAGCTTATCCACTAAATCTCTCTCGCTGTTGGTTAAAAACTGTCTCCAGCTGACTTTTAAAGGTCCAGTGTATAACATTAAGGATCTATTGGTAGAAATTAGTAGTTATAGTTATATAATGACCCCAAAATGAGAATAATTGTGTTTCCGAATTAGCTGTTGGGGGTCAACTTCTACGGGGGCCGCCATGTTGAACAACCATTTTTCTACAGTAGCCCAGAATGGACAAACCAAACACTGGCCACAGTTTTGGACTTTAGCACTTTTTATGGCAACCGTAGTTTCTCCTTCACGCTTAGAAACGGAGGGTGAAGTGACTAAATCCTACACACTGGACATTTAAATGTTTTCAGTCCATTTATTTTACAACAATAAGAAGTAAGTTTCTTGTATTTATCTCTCAAACATGCACATAATATCTACATAAATAATATAATGCTAAAAGCCCAAAGCTAACAGGTCCCGGGGAACCTGCTCTTATCTGGTTGAGTGTATTTCTTTATTCTACAGGGCGATAAAGACTGTGTTTAAAACTAAATTACCTCACCCAGCTGGTAAAACCTCTCACTGCTTTAGACGCTAAGCCTGCGTGTGGATTGAAATGACTTGTTAATATGGACATTTTCTGCTACGCTGCTCTTACTGTTGAATGTAGTTCAACCAGAAACATAATTACCCACCTGTGACATAGAAATCCACTTGGCCTGAAACCCAGCAATCCACAGCTCATCTGAACATAAATCACACAGCTGCGCTTCCTCTCTTGATTTGAGATAAGTACGTGCATGTTGTTCTATAAGCATTTGAACTTACGGGGTACTGAAACGCAAAGATACTCTCTGAAGCATTTGGCCGGCTTCCAGGAGTGGATGATTTACCTCAGGGGGAGCAATTTCAGCATGTGATCAATTAATTAAGCTGTCAGGGCTCTGAGTCGGCTACTGTCAACACATAATGAAGAGGATTAACATATGTGTCAAATTATGTTTAATTATTTACTAATTCATAACAGTTCTGCAGCGGGGCCGCTCTCTCAGAGCTCAGTGAGTCCCTCAGTGAGTCCCTCAGTGAATCCCTCAGTGAGTCCCTCAATGAGTCGCACTCTCTTTCCTCAACACCTCAGAAAGAAAGACTGTATTCTTCCAGTCAGAACAAACCCGATCTCCTTACCCTGCAACTATTGCCTTCTGGTGCCACACGTCAGACCAATCACAGGTGAGCACTCCCCCTCTGCAGCATAAGTTTGAATAACTGGGAGGTCAACCAATCAGAGGGAGCTGTGGGAACCTCTGAGTGGGTGAGAGAAGCATAAAGAAGGAGGCCTGTTGAGCTCCAACCTGGGCTGAACAAGTCTGCAAGCCCTGATCTGAGCTGACATTTAGAGCGGGTCGGCCTCCTCCGTCTGCACGGTATATGACTGAGCTTGTTAAAACTTGCTTATGACCTTCCCACTGATTTTATTATTGATGCCGAGGGCTGTTTAACCCTTCCCTATTTTTACTGGAATGAATATGATTCTGAATACACATATTATATTTTATATTCTAGTATGTTGTTATGTGACTATAACTTACTTTCTGCACAGAGGGAAGGTTAACAGTGCCTGGAGGTATTTATGTGGCTTTTTTATTTGTGGATCTTTATCTGATTATACCTTGTTCTACTGTACAGAACATAATAATCAATAATTCAACACCTCACAGTCACAATAAGACTTTGGGAGCAGGTGCGATGGAGATGTTTTGTGTTTAGTAAGCACCTTTTTTATTATGAGCTGATGTAGATTAATTGAATGAATGATTCATGTTACTGTTTTTGGCATCAACATAGAGATTTTGAACACAACAGGCCTTGTGTTAAAGTCTCACTGCTGCAAGCTGAAACACAGAGTTACTCTGCAACGCAGCAGACCTTGATAATTGAGATTTTGGGTAATAATTCTTAAATGTCACTTTTATTTTCCCTTCCACATAAAGAGATTAATTGCACTTGTTGAAACCTGTCTGAGGCTCGTACTCTCCGGCCTCCACAGAAGCACTGAAATCTCAAGCTCAATCATGATCTGACAGATAAACATCACATCTGTCTGTTCCAACAGATAGATCATAAGCTTTTATTTAATGCACATATTGCTAATCTAGCTAAAGAGATCAACGTAAAGATAGGCTTTTATTTTAGAAATAAATCTACTTTTAATGCAAAGAAAACACTTTTTTGTCTGTGATTAATCACAGTGACATTTTACCACTTTAGGGAGCCTTTATTCAGCGAACCATCCATCTCTACGCGTCCCTCACATCAACCAATCATTATGATTGATGTATTGGACATGATCGGCCACTCACACTACACTGGTACATTTTTATTTATAAAGCGATACTGGGTGAACTTCCTGCTTTGTGTCAGTTACCAGCTACATTCCTCCCAGCAGCTGCTTTTTAATGTTCTCTGGTTTTAACAGATCAGAATCAGAATCAGAAATACTTTAATAATCCCAGGGGGATCTGGTGACGACTGCATTTTCTATATCCACTGATGAATTTAACCGCGTCATAAAGAATGTGGTTGTTTTTCTTGAGAAGCCATTGTGTTAATATTTGTGTTAAACTGTGTAAATAGTTTCTAGTGTACTGTGGATGTTTTCTGTACATCATGTCGTATCCTAATATGTTGTGTTTTTTGTACGGCTGCTATACCACAGTCAGGTTTCTCTTGTAAAAGACATTTTTTGACATCTTTTCCTGGTAAAATAAAGGTAAAATAAATACCGGTGCAGAGCTGAAACAACAGCTGTAACTCTTCAACAGGCAGCCATGTGGTTTTTCCCACACTACGGTCGAGGGAAGGCGTGCAGCGGGCATTAAGAGAGGAGCCCTTTTAACTACTAATTATTATTTTCACTGATATAAATAAATGAAAATCTTGATGATGTGACATTTGTTGATGGTCTGTCCCAAAATGACCAACACAAAATGAATGTGTTGGTCAGCGAATCTGTGCAGAACTACAGAACTTCATTATAATGTCACACATCTGAACAATTTAGATATTTTAGTTGGTTATATTGTGACTTAAATAACTTTTTGATTAATGTTGCAGCCCAACAACTAATTCTCTTTTAACAGGACACACAAAAATCTGTTTAAGTTACTTGCTGCAATAGAACAATTTGGGAAATATTTGAATACTTTTGAGTATTTTATGTCAGTTTATAGATTTTTATCAACTCATTTCAAATATTTTTTGTTTTGAAAAGGAAGCAGAAACAGGGTTCCTACTCTTTTTAAGGAATCATTTTCCAGGACCTTTCCAGGAGTTGTCTCTAGTTTCATTCCTCCTTTTGTAATGGTATGGGGTTCATGATGAAGTGCCTGTAGGTAGTCAGTGTTTATGGCAAACGCTGCGTTATTTCGCCAGTTTTTCCGCTGTGTACTTTGTTGTTAACTATAACATTACAGCCACAGACCGTAGGTCATAAATTAAGTAGAATTTACTTTATTTTACAGAAAATTCATCTTCTCAACTTTTATTTATTAACCAGATCAAGTTTGTCCCACGTCCATTGAACCCAACTGTCGAGCTTTAAACTAAATACGTAAGTGATCTGTGGCAAAGACCTGAGTGAAGAGCTAAAATACATTTTCCAGGACAACATAGATTATTTCTAGGATATTCCATGACTGGAAAACTAGTCTCTAAACTTCCAGGTTTTCCAGGACGCGCAGGAACCCTCTTTAAATACATTTAATACATTCTAATTTCTTCATATATTGTATAATTTTGTAGTAATCAAAGCCTTTGTATGATGACTTTAAATGTTTTATGTTCTATTTACTCCAGAATAATCCACTATAAACCTAATACAGGCTCTGATGTGCATAAAAAAACACAACACACAATAAGATCATAACATGATACTTAAATTGTTATTAAAAAGGTATTTTTACAGCATTCATATTTGCTCTATGAATCACTTGTTCTCTTTTTGAGAATACATTTTATACTAAAAGGGAGAAATTATATATTTTACATTATTTTGTCTCATAATGGCAGCCCCTAGTTTAACATTAATTGACATTAATTTGAGATAATATCATACTAATCTGTCTACAAAGATAAACTATTAATACATTTAGAAACACATTTACATAATTTTTTACCATTAAATCTGATTTCAGACTTTCAAAAAACCCTAAATTATCCTTTATATTATCTATGTTTTTATATTTAGGTCAATTAAACTGAATTAAAACGTTTTCTTATGGGTTTATTATGACAAAATAAATCTAATCCACACAGTATCACGCATGTACAGACAACCTTTCAGACAGTATAGCAGGTTTTCTTTGGATTGAAATAAACGTTAAAGCCTGAGAGCGTTATTTAAACAGGGACAGGACACGTGGAGTGACACTAATTGCTCTCAGCCTGAGGCTCTCCATCACATGATCACTGGTAGCCAATCACAGTGGATCTTTTTTTATTGCTGTTATAGTTGGTTATTTTCATACTGGTCATAAATGTGTTCCACTTTTTCTTTTTAAGGGCATCCTGTAGAGTCCAACAGTGTAGACGAGTTTACATAGAAACTTTAAGCTTTGGGAGTTTAGTAGATTCAAGGTGCTTTCAAGACTTAATGTATAAATCTCTTTAGTCCATTGGTTTTATTCTTTACATATAAACACACAACTGTAGAAAGTTTTGACGTATCTTTGGTTTTAGAAAACAAAATATCTGAAAACTGTAAAACTGGAAGTATTTTTCACCGTTTTGTGATATTAATACAAAGATTAATTGACATTAAATAGACATTAATAGATAAACTGTTACTGAAAATAATCCTTAGTTGAAGCCCTGATTGTGTTTTTGTTTGTTTTGAGGTCATGTGGTTCTGGTTCTACCTATTTGGCAACACCTGAAGTTGCTCAACGTCCTCCTGGATCCTATTTCCATGCTCTGTGGCCTGTCCTCTTCCAGGCCTCCGTGGTGGAGAGGAGGTCGTGCTGTATGTCTCCCTCGAGGATACCTGAAGCTGTAACCGTCCTCCTGGATCCTCATTCCTCACATACATTTAAAAATCCTCACGTATAAGAAATTGTGTCGTCAAAATTTGTATTTAATGTGGTTTTGTTGGTTCGTTCTGTCCATCCTGGAAGAGGAATAATTTTGAGCCATCTAAATAAACTCTGACTTGACTTTTATGAAGGTTTGAGGGAGTTTTGCTCATTTTGCTTCATGTTTTCCTCAGAAAGTACAAGCTGCTATAAAGTCATTGTGTTTATTATTTATCCAATCTAATAATTTAACCAAATAAAAAAAGAAATTAAATGAGTTATAGCTATCTACATTACACAAACTGATGTTCATAGTGGTTGATTTATTATAATAACACTGTTTGTGATGTTTATATGTATTGAGACAGGCTGAAAATGTTTATTGCTTCATTTCATTTAAGAAATTTTAACTTTTCAGACTCACAAACGAGTTAAATATTATTTATTTTTCAATGTGCAGTCTTGTGTCTTTACAGGATAATAAAGGTGTTACCTTGTGCGCCTCCTGGATCAGCCTCCTCACCACCTCCCTGATGTGCGGTCCGGACTCTTTGGGCGGGTGGGTATGCACAGACACCCGGGTCACCCCCTTGTAGACGCCGCTGCTGCCGGGCCAGCCGATGTCCAGAGACGGGACCTCGGTGTCGGACATCTGGGGCCAGTAGGTGGAGTGGACCCCGGAGTCCGCGCTGGAGGACTCCTTGGACTTCTCATGCTCTCCGGACTCGGAGTCGCTGTCCGTGTCGTACTCGAGAAAGGTTTTCCGGATGAACCTCACCTCCCTGGCGGAGAGGAAGTCCTTGATGTTGTCCTCCTTGAGGCGCATCTTGAAGGCTCCGTCCCCGTTCCGGAGGAGCTGCTCCAGGGCCGCACGCTGCTCCTCGCTGTAGTAAAACTCGGGTCTGGAGTCCGGGATCTTCTCGTTGACGTGCTCATCGTCCATGCACAGCAGCTGAGACTCCGCCATAGCAGACTAAAGTTCCCCCCCTGCAGTCGCTCCTGATCCGCTCCTGATCCGCTCCTCTCCGGCACAGCGATACCTGTGCGCGCGGGGACGCCAGGTGCGCAGGTGAGGAGCAGGGGGCGGGGCCAACTGTTTGAAAGTCAACGTGGAGACCAAACACAATATTAAAGAGCTTCCTGTTGGAAAACTTTCAGAATAAAAACATTTGGTGTTAAAACAAAAGAGAGAGAGAGACAGAGAGAGAGAGAGAGACAGAGAGAGAGACAGAGACAGACAGAGAGAGAGAGAGACAGAGAGACAGACAGAGAGAGAGAGAGAGAGAGAGAGACACAGAGAGAGAGAGAGAGAGAGACAGACACAGAGAGAGAGAGAGAGAGAGAGAGAGGAGAGAAGAGACAGAGAGACAGACACAGAGAGAGAGACAGACAGACCGAGAGAGAGGAGAGAGAGAGCAGACAGAGAGAGAGAGAGAGACAGACAGAGAGAGACAGAGAGACAGACAGAGAGAGAAGAGACAGACAGACACGAGAGAGAGAGAGAGACAGACAGAGAGAGACAGAGAGCGAGAGAGAGAGAGAGAGAAGGAAGACAGAGAGAGAGAGAGACAGAGAGAGAGAGAGAGAGAGAGAGAGAGAGGAGAGAGAGACCCCTTCCAGTGGTGGAAAGTTAGTTGCAATATTACTTTTGTGTCACTCCTACTGATTCAAATCCAACAATTCAATCAGATCCTTGGATCTATTCTGTAATCGTGGAGGAAACTAGTTTGAAGATGGAACATTCAGCACAGGATA